GTTGGTTTAGCTCATCCGTTCTTCTCCGCTTCGTACCTGCTGGGGCTGGGATGTCATCTAGAGGCTTCCTCACTGACACGTCTATGCCTGATGAAGAGGGCTGAGCCAGCGGGGTGCTGACCATGAATCTCTCTTTCTCCCTCTCTTTCTCTTTCTCTAGCATTCTCTCTACATGGCTCACTTGGGCTTCCTCACACATGGTGGTCTCAGGAGCATCAGACTTCTTACATGGGGGGTGGTTACCCCCAGAACAAGGATTTGAAGAGGGCTGGGTGGAAGCTTTTTGTGACTCAGCAGTGTAAGTCTGTATCTTCCTACTGGGCAAGCAAGTCACTAAGGCCAGCCCACATTCAAGGGGAGGGGAAATAGACTCCACCTCTTGATGAGAGGAGTTGCAAAGAGCTGGTGGGCAGCTTCCATCAAGTGCAGCCTACTGTAACAAAGAAACCCCAAATTGCATTGCTATAATTAGGGGTATCTCTCTCACCTAACAGTGTTAAGTACATGGGAGTCAATTCCCATTTTCTGCCAGAGAGCCCAGCAATTAGCTTACCAGGTCTGGTCTCTGGGAGTGTTGCTGCCCCAGGGATCAGCAGGAATATCTTCACAAGGAGACCATTCCAGTTTCACTTACCTTAGTCATGGCAACTTGTGTGATGTTCAGAAGCCCAGGAGACCTCTGGGGAGATAAGTGCTAGGGAGGAGAGTAAGTTCTCGAAGAAGCAGGTCTAATGCCCAGGGTGCTTGTCTGCACCCAGACTGTGGGGATGGGATTTTTCCCCCAGCACCACAGGGCACAGCTTTCTCAGTGGACTTGGCTCCCCCGGAGGGGTAGGAGGAAGTTGCAAGGTGCAAAAAGACTTGAGGGTGTGGGCCCAGGAAGCCACACTTGTCACTGCCCCAGGGCAGAACCTGTGACCTTAGCCGGTTTCAGGAACTACACAGAGAAGCCCACAGAACCACGGCCGCCGCAGCCCCAGACTCTCATTCATGCTGCTCCGTGCTCCCGGCCTCCCCTTGCCTTCCTGGTCTGTGGAGCTGTCCTAGGTTCCCAGACAGAATGGAGCTGCACTCAGCCTGCTGGCAGAGTGCTGGGGCCTCTTCCCACCCTCCACAGCTCTTCATTTCCTGGGTCCACGACAGTCGGCCCAAGCTCCAGCGCATAGTTCCTTCGCAGAGCCTTGCTTTGCCCAGGCCCGGTACACGGGATGTGCCCTAAATGACGGTGCAGGCTGACCTCTGGGGACTTTGGACCCTGGCCTACCAGAACTCTTGGGTTGCTGGGCGGAACTGCCCTGGGCAAGGAGATTGGGCTGTGGCGACTTCTGACATTCAGAAGAGAACTCTGCTCAAGCTGAGGGCTCCTCGCCAGAGGCCTCGGGTGAGGGGCGGATGGGCAGTCACCACACTCACCCGCAGCTTAGGCACCAGGCAGTTCCCTGAGGGAGTGAGATGGTCGTTTCCTGATTCTTCCTGTGGCAGACATTACAAAAATCCATCCACAGCTGGTCCACTGCCCATTGCAACAAGGGTCTCATCCATGTGACACCTCCCCATACACATGAACCCCCCCCAGGAAATGTCCTCCCCACCAGCACCATTCCCACCAGAGTCCTTCCTCTGCTGGGGGTTCCTGGGGCCCCCGGAAATCAGTCCTGCTTCTGGCTTCCCTCTGCCCTTTCCCACCAGCATGCCGTGGGCAAGGTGCTGCAACTCCAGGGGACTGGCTGGGATGTTTCCATAAATAACATACAGTTGATGATTCCCACCTTGAGGGATGCGGTGCGGACTACACAAGATGCGGGGGGTGGGGGTGGCGGATGGCGCAGGGGGCTAGTGCAGCTTGTGGCACATGCTGGGACTTCCTTGAGAGGCAGCTGGGCTGGCACACCCAGGGGGCTTCCAAACCCAGACGCCTTCTGGTCCCACGCTTCTGCCTTCCACTACCCCGAAAAAAGAAAAAAGAAAAAAAAAAAAAACAGGCCGCAATGGCAAGGCAGGCCCTTCTCTGTGCCTGGGGAGCCTCCTCGTTGGAGCGCTCAGGCAGAACCAACCCTCCCCTCCTGAGCTCCTGTGCCTACTAGCCCCCTTGTATTAAACAGGTGAGCAAGGTCACCTGGGCACACCCTCAGGAGCCACGACCAGAACTCTGCTTCAGGCCAGGCCAACGAAGGAACCAGTGGCTACCAGTGTGCTGGGAGATGGGGAGGTCAGGAGCACCCGGAGCATGGTCACCACCTCCTGTCTGCCGCTTTAACTCAGCCAAATATCACCAAAGCCTCTTACCCTGTAGCCCGAGGTCAGGTCGCTTTCTAAATGCCAGTCTGAACTTGTCACTCACCCTTCCCAAAACACTCAAGGCCCTCCCTGCCCATCCTGTGGAGGCTGATATTTCAAGACCCACTCTCGGGCCTCTGCCCACAGGGACAGCCCAGCGCCCCTTCTGTGCTAAGCACTTACCCATGGTTACCAAGGGAAGAACACACGAAACGGGGATTCCAACCCAGCTCTCTCTCTTCTCTGCTGTTTCATCGATTTGTTTTTTCAACTGCAAACCAGGGCTGCCACTACAGCATTCCGAGAATGCCCCTTTGACTATAGACCTTTTGTTTCCATCAAAAAGCATCAGAATAACTCTCCACATGCCAAACAAATCAGGGAAAAGGGCTGGGTTCCCAAGACCCTTTCCTGCCACCTGCTGGTCACTCGCCGCAAGGCCATGCAAATTGCCCACAAGAATGTGAGCAAGGGACTGAGCACCTGTGAGGTGCTCGGCATCAGTCAGCTAATTGAATCCCTATAACCATTATGTGCAAGAGGGATGAGGAGGAATCTGAGGCTCAGAGAGATTGAGTGACTCAGCTGTTAACTGGCAGGTGTGAGACTGAAATGCTGGAATGACCTAGGTTGGTAGGTTGGTTTTGCCTATGTGCTCTCTGCCTCAGTTTCCCTTCTGTAAAATGAGGATAACATAATACTTTCACAGAGGACTGTTGTGATGATTTAAAAAGTTAATAGATGCTAAGTGCTGAGAACAGGACAGGCTACAGATTGAAAACTGAATAGATGGGCATTTGCCTACAGTACACACACACACCACACACATAGGCACACATCTCTCTCTCTCTCTCACACGCACATACACACACACACACACTGATAGACAGTGGAAACCAGGAAACTGTCTACCACCTGGAGCCAGAGTCTCAAGTTTGGTCGGCAGGTCCTTTGCTTTCTGGCGTGTCCTTGGAAGAATTACACAAGGTGACTGTCTAAGCCTTGTTTGCCTCCCAGTAAAATAGGAAGTATGGATCTCCCTGTGTCTCGGGCTATGAGGAGCCAGGACAAGCATGACCATCGTGTTTAAAGCATTAAGTGCTCTACAGGTCATGCTGACCTTCTGCCAGTGTGTGTGGCTGCCCAGCACTCCTGGCCCCTTTCCTGGTACAAACCCGTGAACATCTAGAACCTGGAGAGGGCAGAGGCACGGTGTCCTCCACGGCTCTAGACTAAGCCCAGGGGAGCACTGGCGAACCCTCCATCACCAAGCACACTTAGGCATATCCCCCTCCATTCCTAGACTGAAGCACTCTGTGCCCTTCTCCCTGATGTACTTCCACAAACCAATCCCCCCAGAAGTGAGGGGGGGACGTGCTGGTGGCCTAAATGAGGTTCTTCACACTGCTTCTCAGGAGCAGCATTTCCACATGGACAAAGGGCTCAGGACACCGGGGGTGGAAGTTTACAGCGTCTCTGCCAAGGAGGAGAGTCATCAGACCCAGGGAACCAGGCTCCTGGACAGCAGAGATGAAGGGTCACACACAGGTAGCCAAATAGGACAGCCTAGCCCTGCCATCTTTGATTTTCTGGGAGGGAGACAAGGTGAAGCCACAATTTGGCCAATACCAGGGTGTGTCATCTGAGCCCAGAGAGAAATGTAGGATGTATGCAGTGCAATCAGTCAGGACCAGAAAGAATTCTAGTTAGTGGGCCATGCGGCCCTGCAGGAAGGTTTCAGGACACGTCAGTGCTGTCTGTGGAATGTGTCCATCAGTGAGCGGATGGGGTCTGAGCCACAGCTTGTTGAGTGAAGCAGGGGGAGCAAGAACCAACCCTCCCCTCCTAAGCTCCTGTGCTTACTAGCACCCTCATATTAAACAGGGTGGAGACAGCCATGGCAATGAGGGTCTCATCCATGTGACACGCCCATACTCATGAGCCCCCCAGAAAATGTCCTCCCCACCAGCACCATTCCCACCACAGTGGAGAGAGCCAGGAGCCAGCAAGTCTAGAAAGCTGGGTCCAAGACAATATTCACCCTGGACAAACGGAAGGTCAGGTGGCACAAATACCAACTGCCAAGAGTAGGTAAGGAGGACGAAGCCGATCAGCTTCTTATGTCAGAGCAAACCCTCAGGGGCTTAACCAGCACTGGGTCCAAAGCAAGGAGACAGGAGTGTGTGATACAGCCACCAAACCAGCAAGTGAAAATGGGGTCACAGAAACACCTAGAACAGTGATCTGGGCAAGGGAACAGGGGTTGGGGCGGTCCCACCCACGGCCAAGCACTGAGCCCAGACACACGGCACATACGGGTATGGCCTGCAGGACAGTGAGGGCCCTTGAAGCCATGACATGTGGAGGACAGCTGTGGAGCAGAGGGGCTGGTGACCTGTGAGCATGAGCTCTCTGTGGGGACACGAGGCATGGCGGCATGACCAATGTGGGCAGAGGAGGAAAGGCATCTGTGCTCGGGGACTGGAGTAAAAGACCTCTGGGGTTGTGCCTGAAACCTCTCTGGTTTCCAGAGACCAATCCAGAAGGCTCCCTGCTCCCTTGCATTTTCCCAGCCACCAATCCCCGTGCCACTTGGAGAAGAGCCTAGCCTAGCTCTCAGTCCCCAGGGAGAAGGCTCACTCTGCAGCCAGGGAACCTTCCACAGGGCCGCAGTGTGGCTGGAGCACCCAGGCCCACTTTCCCCTCTCCTCTTCCCCTCTTAGTGCTGATCGGCGTGGGCACTGAGACCTTCCTCCAGGGGCAGTTCAAAAGCCTGGCTTTCTATCTGCTGTGAGTATGTGTGCATGTGCCCTTCCCTGCCTGCATGTTCTGCTCTGGCTCACCCCGAGTCTGTCAGACTAACACAGAGCAGCCCCCACCCCTTTCCCATGCTAACTCCATCACATCCCTCAGGTGGAAGAAGTAGAGGGGGCTTCTAGGATATTCTCTGGTTTGGGCAGGGCTTTGGTCAGATCACCCCATTGATCAAACAGTTATCCTTCCATCCATCCACCTACACACCCATCCTCCCACCCATCCATCCAGTCATCCGTCTGTCTGTCTGTCCCTCCACCCAGCCCGCCAGCCAGCTACCATCCAGACGGCCAGCCATCTATCCACCCATCTATCTTTTCAATCATCTCTTTGTCCAGCAAACATGAACTGAGCTCTTGTTTTAGAGAGAGAGGAATCAGTTCCAAACACTACGTATTTGAACCCTTCTACATGCCAAGCAGATTTATTTACGTTGTGTCCTTTAACTCTGACAGCGCCGGAGAAGGGCATACTGTCCTAGTTTTTCAGATTAGCAGATTCAGAGGGAGTGAGCAGCTCAGCCAAACAAACTCACAGCAGCAGGGCCCAGACTCAGGCCTGGGTCCGTCTAGTTCCCTAGCCTCCATCCTCTCTTCCTTGCCAACTGCCTCACAAATGCCTGCCGGCGGGAAGGACATCGCTGTGCAGTGGTGGCCTGATGACGGAGGACAGCCTGGGGTCCCAGCTGGCTCTGACCAACCGGCTTCTCAGCAGCCCCATCCTGAGGGACACGGGGCACCTGTGCTTTGTCCCGCGGGGTCACCAAGCTGCCTCCTCCCTGCCCACACCCACCCTCATCCCTGCCTCACTGCCCAGGGCAGCCCTTGGATTTGCTAGGTGGACCACACCCACCGTCTGTCATCCATCCTCCACCCATCCAGCCCATTGCCACTCTGCCATGAAATTAGCCACCTAGAAACACGGGGCTGTTCTGGAAGCTTCAGCTGCTGCCACGGCCTCCAGACCCTATTCCTCTGCCACCTCCTGGTCTCCATTTTATTTCTTGTCACCCAACTTACACCTCAGGAGCTTCTGACTCTTTCTCAAACTCACCTACATCACCTCACCTCCAAGCCCTTGCTTATCCCGTTGAGCACCCAGGGTAACTTACCACCCACCTGGACATTCCCAAAGCCCGATATTCCTTCCTGGCATTCTGCCCTGGGAAGCCTGCCCCGAGTCTGGGGCCCCCGCTGCCTGGAAGCGACCTCTCTTCGCTCTGAACTTGCTCCATGTCTTACTGAGCCTGTCCCTGGCCGCCGCGCCCTGTGTCCCCGGAATCCAGAAGCCAGCCTGGCCTTCCTCCTCTCCTCCTCCCTCTACTTAGCTTACCCACAAACCTCACTTCAAGTAAGAGGTAGGTGTGATTGTCCTCCTGTAACAGGTCAGGTCCGTAGCCAGTTAATGCAAACCACGTTCTGCCCAGAACCCTGCCCCTTCCTGACTGCTCTGTCCCTGCCCCTCTGGTCACTCGGTCATCCAGTCTAGAAGATATGATTTCCAGCCTCAGGTCCCCCCAGCCCTCGCCGTGGGCTAGTTTATGTTCTCCCCGCGCACCGCTCCACAGCCGCCCGGGGTGGGAGCCCCTGCCTGCCCGCCCAGCCCTCCTGCACTCTTCCCCACTCACTCCTCAAAGGCCATCGCAACGCCTCCCTCCTCCCTCTCTCCCTCCCTCCCACACACACACACACACACACACACGCACACGCACACACACACACACGTGCGGTCTCCCCTGCAGATCTCAGACTCCTGCCTCCGGGTACCCCTACACTCAGGACGTTGGCCGATTGTAGCACACCCCTGTGTCACTGTCACTCCCTCCCCTGTGTCCCCGGGACCCGGCAGGGGCCGAGGCTCAGAGCAGGCTCCCATAGGCACTGAGCTGTCGTGGGCTTTCTCCTTGTTCTTCTCCACTTCTCTGCGCACCGGCTTCCTCCCCCACCTTTCTCCTTCCCGCGGGGCCCCTCGCCGCCTTCCTCATGCTCCCCCACAGACAGCAGCCACACCATTGGCTGAAGGGTCCACGTGGCTGGTGTGGCGCCCCGGGCAGAGGCTTGCTTTGTGGGATCCTGCTACCACGGCAGGGCTCTGGGCTTGGATTCGCTGCCCCACCTGAGTGACCAGACCTTCTTGGCCTCAAGAGGCACAACCTCTACAGCACCAGACGGGACACCTGGCGAGTCACTCTACTGCCCAAGCCTCAGTTTCCTCCTTGCCCCCCATCCCAGGATCTAGAAAAAGGCAATGACACTTGTTTTACAAAGCACGCATGCTGTTGTGCTTGTTGGGAACCCAGGCTCTGGAGTCTAAGGGCTGGGTTCAAATCTTGGCCCTGTAATTACTGTCAGTTTACAGATGAGGATGCTGATGCACAGGAAGCTCAAGCCCCTTGCCTATAGGCACACAGCTGATCAGTAGCAGGGGCAATGCCCAGGTCCCTGAGGAAACTGTGGCCCCAAGCCACCTTCTCCTGCGAGGTAGTATCTCCTTTCACTCATTCATTCACTCCAGTGGTGTCCACGGAGCACTTAACAATAAGCCATTCCCAGGGTGGGCCTGGCTACAGGGAAGAATTAGAGAGGGAACTGACAAAGGGAGTTCACAGACTGGTAGCTGAGAGACCACAGTAAAACAGGGAGAAGCAAGAAGTCACCAGACAGACAAAAGGAGGAAAGAGGAGTCCTTCCAAGAGGGGCTAGCTTGTGCAAAGGCCCTGTTAGCTTCCTGTGTAGACAGAGGACTAAGGAGGTTCATATAAGGCTTTAAAGGCATGCTAAGAAATTTCAATTTTATAGGCCAGTAGGACCCTCCAATAAAACATGTTAAGTTCCATTCCCGAAGATTCTGATATATAAAGTCTGAGGCTGGCCCAGGAATTTGTGATTTCACATCTTTCCCAGAGATTCTGATTGGAAGTTCCCTGGACCACACTTGGAACATGAGGAGCTTTTGAAGCAATGTGGATTGGGAAGACCACGGTCACATTCAGGTGTCAGAAGGAGCCTCAGGGCAGCCAGTGGGGATGGAGTGGAGGAACAGGAAAGGGAGAGGGGATGGCGGGGAGTTAGGGAGGTGGAAAAGGGGAGTCAAGTGCAGGGGTCAAGGGGGCAGTGCCCAAACTCAGGTCATATAGGTGACGCCAGAGACTGGACAGTGGGCAAAGAGGGAGAAGGAAAGGAGTCGGGAACAGATCCAGCCTTCAGGTTCGCACAGCCAAGCAGCGAATGTCATGCTAGTGACAATAGGTAGGACGACGTTGGCCACACAGGGGCCGGTGTCAAGGCAGCCTCTCACCCGTCTCTGGGCCCAGGCTCGCACCCCTCCACTGAGGCCCAACCCAGCATAGGCCCTGGCACGGACGCAGCTCCTGGCAGATTCTGGCTGGGGGGCAGCATTAGGCCAGGGAACTCCTGGTCAGTCTGTTGGCTGTATGGCCAGGAGCCCCGGATGCTGTGGGAAAACAGGCTCTGGGAGAGCGAAGGGCAGATCAGATGGCTCCAGACGTCCCTTCCCTGTCTCCACCACAGGTTTATAGGAAGTGTCATCTCCGTGTGTGAAGGGGCCTACTTTGTGGCTCAGCTGCTGGCCGCCTGCTTCCAGTAAGTAGCCTCCAGAGCAGCCCTTCCACCACCTCCTAGCCCCAGACACCCCCAGATTCCTCCACCCGTGAAGCCACAGCCCACGTGATGGTCTGCTCCCAAAGCAGCTACGGACGGGTTCCCTCCCCACCATGTAGCCAGCCCCTGCCTGGGCATGGGCTCAGGTCTCCAGGGCTCAGTGGTCCCCTTTCTCTGCTCCCAACCAGGGGAGTGGAGGGAAGCATTCACACAGGGCCCATTTCCACCCAGAAGCCCCTGCAGAGTCCATCCCCACCTCCAAGAAGAGTCCGTAGCTGCACCTGCCATCCAAGGCACCCATGGAGAGGTGAGGACCCTGTGGAGTAAGCAGAGATAGATTTGAGAACTGGTTCTTTTTCCTGCTAGGACCCAGGCACAAGTCAGGGGCTGCAAGGATCTCGGGAAGCCACTTGGCCATGGAGGCCCATACTTGCTGTCCAGCAGTGCTCAGTTCATAGAAGCTGTCATCAGTGTGGCCAACGGCTGTCCCTGGACCACAGCTCTCAGAACCTCAACAGTTGCATCTCTAGGTAGTCAGAAAAAGAGCCAGGCCTCAAATCCAGGTGTCCCTTGCAAGGCCATCAGCTGCCTCCCAAGGTCACCAGCCCTGAGGCAACAGGCTTCCTCCTTTCCAATGAATGGCACTTGTCAAGGGATCTTTGCAACTTCTCTGGGACGGGGAGGAAGGAGCCCTGAATCCAAAGGGGCATTTCACACCCCTGCCCCCCCCCCCCCCCCCCCCGGTCTGGACTCCCCCCTCTCCCAGCCAGGGTCTGGTCACAAAACAACGTCCACCAGAGGGCACCAGTGAGCCATGGCCATGGTGTGCGGGAGGAGGGCTGTGCTCAGGACCAGCGCGTCATCCTCCAGCCCCCGCCACTGCCCCCAAACTAGCGTGGACAGAGCCCTGCTCCAGACCAACTCACAAGATGAAGGAGATGGACCTAAAGGGAAGCCCTTTCCTCCTTTGAAACCCGGAGGCAACACCGCTGAGGAAACCTGCTGGGCATCAGGCCTCTGCCAAGCCCATGTGTGGTCCCTGCGGGCCAGTTTAAAAAGAAGCCCCTCTGGGCTGATGCCATCTTATGCCTAGGTGAGGCTCTGTGAGCAAGGTGGAGCTGGATTCCAGCCTGTTCACTCAGGTGGCCAGGCGGCTTGTGCAGTGCACAGTCTACACAGTGGTCCCAGCCAGCTCTTTCCCATACTGCGTGCCTTCTCCATTCCACTGGGGACCTCCCAATGGACCCCTGAGTCTCCTATTCTCCTTCCCCCTGACTTTGCTGAATCCTGGCATCGTTTAGCTCCCTTCACCCCTGACACAAAGACAGGGTGAGGCAGCCTTTCAGAAAAATTATAGGCCCTCTGGAAGGACCCCAGATTGTGGAACCCATGATAAGGACTCCAGCCCCTGGGGAGAGTTTAGTCAGAGGCCACTAAAGAGCAATGGGCACAGCAGGACCCCATCCCAGCCTCACACGTTCTGGGCCTTTTCTGAGTTGTTTCCCATTTCCCGCTAATTCTGGACTCCATCCCACCAGGTGTCGACCAGAGTCCCTGGCCTCCAGAGCAAGGGAGAAAGCCCGCTGGCTGGGCTGCTTCCAGAAGTTCCTGGCGTACATGTTGCTCTCTGTGGCCTGCTTTCTCCACCCTGTCCTGGTCTGGCACGTGACCATCCCAGGTAGGAGCTCCGGGAGTTAGTGGAGGCAGGGAGCCCCCACCACAGGCTCCTGGGCTCTGAGCAGGAGGGGCTGAATCCCCCCGCACAGGCCTCAGTAACACCGGCTCCAGGGCCCCCCATGGCCCCACTGACTTCATGCTGATCAAGTAGCAGGAATGTCCCTTCATGGAGGTCCAGAGGCTGCACCCACAAACAGAGACCCTTCCTCCAATGCCTATGTGTGTTCAGAGCCTTCAGAGGGTGTGAGATGGTCACTTCTCTGTGCAAACCCTTCCATGTCTCCCCAGTGCCTACCCATTCAGGTCCAAACTCCTCAGCCTGGTTTTGGAAGGCATGCCGTGATAGGACCCTCAAAGCCTCAGCATCTTCCCCTCCACCTCATAGACCGTGCTAGTCAGCTAGAAGCCAGGACTCAGTGCTCCCAGCCCTGGGTTTTGTCCACGACCTCCTCTGCTGGTAGCCTCCTCTTCCCCGCTCCCTAGCTGTGAAAACCATATCCATCCTCGTGACCCGCCCAAAATGCCAGGAAGCCCACTGCTCAGGGAGACAAAGTCGAAAGGCAGAGCCTCCTCTTCCTTCCTGTGGTTTCTTCTAATGTACCTGTCATAGCATGTCAAGGCCACTCTGCACGGCCCTTGTTGGACTCCAGAGGATTCAGCATTGCCAAGGCCAGGGCGAGCCACCACCGCCCACTCCTTGGAGAGCGAGAGCCGCCCAGAGGCTTCCTCTGGATAGGGCAGGTCTCCTGGTAGGAGACCCCAGAGCAGCAATCTCAGCCTGAGACAGAGGGACCTCTGGCCTGGAGACTGGGGGAAGAGGGGGCACCCAAGAGGAGGACCCATGCTAGGCCAGCCCCAGCCGGTAAGATTTACACTTTCCTCCATGTTTCCTGGGGAGGCTAAGGAAGGAGCATCTCCCCACTTCTGGGAATGGAAGGAAGCCCAGTTCAGCAGTTGGAGCCCAGTATCCAAAATAGGGTGCAGGCCCCACTGCAGGCATTGCAGGTCCAGCCCAACACGTGGTCCTAACACGGAGGCCAAGCATGGCAATCAGAGGCCAGGCAGGTGGCTCCAGGGTCGGCTGTCAACGCAGGGGGCCTCAGGCACATAGCCCCCTGGCTAACAATCAGGGTGAGGGCCCAGCACGGCACTGGCCCCGCTGACATCCCTTAGCCAGACACCAGGCCTGCCCCTGAATCAGAAGTGGGTGTGATGTGCAGGCTGGAGCCCAGAGGGCCTGAGCCTGCCACGGTGGCCCCTTTGGAACAGTGTGCTTGGACAGTGCTCTGTCCAGCTCCTCCCCAGCATCCTGACCTCCTGCATCCCCTTCCAGGCTCCATGCTCATCATCACCGGCCTGGCCTACTTCCTGCTGAGCAAACGGAAGAAGAGCAAAGCCAACCTGGAGGTGCTGGCTCCCCCTGAGCAGTACACGGACCCCTCCAGCAGTGCCGTGAGCACCACCGGCTCTGGGGACACCGAGCAAACCTACACCTTCCACGGGGCCTTCAAGGAGGGGACTGGCTCCCTCTTCATCCACATGAAGAGCATCCTGAAGGGGGCCAAGAAGCCCAATGCCCTCCAGTGCCCAGACACCCTGACGGAGCTGACTCTGGAGCCAGCTGACTTGCTGGTCAAGAAGAAGCAGGTGCACTTTGAAGACAGTATGGTCAGAATCATCCCGTCTCTCACTGAAGACCTGGATGATGGGGACAGCGAGCCAGAGGAGACCACATCTGACACCACTCCCATCATCCCTTCCCCACAAGCCCCTATCTTCCTGTCTTCTCTCACGGACACCAACCTATTCTGAGTTGCTCATTCCAGCCCCCTGGGGGACACTCAGCAAGGGGTCTGCAGAGATTGATGGACCTGCCTGGAGTTTCCTGATACCTGAGGGGTCCCCAGGGAGCTTGGGGTCTTCACAGGTTAGGGCTTCAAGGGGTAACCAGACTTCCCCATGGTAGCTAGGCTTCTGGGACCATCGAGTGGCATGGCAGATCCTGCAGAGGCCTGGAGGAAGGCACAAATGAAGCTCGTGCTGCCTCAAGCCAACAGAGGTTCCTCCTTCCTGGACACGGAGTGGGGAAATCCTTGTGCTTTCCCCGATAGAGACCATCAGTCCCCCTTCACATAAGGCTGCTTCGGCCCTGGGAGCCAACAGGCTTCTCTTGTTCCTGACACGAGGGCCCAGCACTCAGCAAGGACTCCTCGGCCATCCCATCTTTGATGCAACAACCTGGCTTTCAACAATCCCAAGGATGTGTTGGCTACTTGAGCAGCTCCAAGGCAGGTGTTGAAGGTAGCCCTAGATCCTAACCCCCAGGCGAGATGGCTCCCAATGTAGAGGGAAGGCAAGGCTGCCAAGCCTCAGGATGGGAGCAGCAGGAGCTGTGGGCCGCATTCTCTGTGTGCTCTGGGGCTGGGCAGCAGGAGGTACAGAGCCCTTCAGGAAACAATGCCGCTCTGTGCTCACTGCAGGGACAGCCAGGCTCATTCCAGAAGCATTGCTGAGGATTCCCCACATCCCCACCACATGAACTTTCCCGAGATTCCAAGCAGTTGATGTAAACTAAAAGATCCTGGACGGCGACAAGGATTCAGCAGCACGTGCCCCAGCACAGCACCCAGCCCCTACAGTGTGCGGGAGACCAGGGAGGCTGTGCTCCCCAGACACATGGCACAGAGAGGCGGCCCTGCCATGCTCAGGGGCCTGGTGGTAGAATAGATGATAAATATACCTTTGTTTTAAATGTAAGGGAGGGAAGACATGGGCTAGAGCGGCAATAAGAGGAAAGTGGGCAGGCCAGCTAGCTCTCTGCCACTGGGCTAGGGAAGTGACAGTTAACCTAGAACGAACAAAGAAATTCAATCAGATATTCCTTCAAAGATATGCAAAATGGTATTTGTTTCTAAAAAGTGTCCTTTAGTCCATGGGATTGTCGCAAGAAGACAATAATGTGTCTGCGACACATTATTCTTCATAGGTAATCTCAATGAACGAGCAATCTGAAGAAACAGTTATATTGTTTCCCCGGGTGTGTGTGTGTGTGTGCGCGCGCACGCGTGCGCGTGTGTGCAAGCACCCGGGTTCTGCAGAGCAACCCTTAGAACACATGCTTTAAGGCCTAGATAAGAAACATGTGTTCATTCCTGTGCACTTTTCAACATCCCCTAGGAGTTACTTCGCAAAAGTGGGAATAAGGGCTAGCCACATGATCAGTCTGGTGCCCAAACCCAACAGGTGTCCCAAATGAGCAGCCCTCTCCCCGCAATAACCCAGTTCTCTGGTAAAACCAAGTGAGAACAAACACATAAATATGTTCCCATGAGTCCTCAAGGATGGAAGCAGCAGAGCTCCTGAGCTGCGACCAAGGAAGAGCTTCAGAATCCGAGGGTCCACAGTCAGGGGAGAGTGAACAACAGAATGCGGGTATTGGTAGATGGGAATGGCACCCAATTCCTAATGGGCCAGGTGTCCCAGGCAGGCCCCCTGTGCACAAAAGAAGCCCATGTGGAGAGGAGTCAGGGCTCCTACACATGTCACATGCAGAAGGGGAATGTCACATGCAGACACCCACACAGCACAGGCATGGCAGGCTTCTGGGGAACCCAACGCTTCTGCTCTGTTCTCAGAGCCCAAGTCAGCAAGAGGGGGGACGGATGACCAGGTCACAAGAAGCAAACACCGAAGTGTATTATCAGAGCTGTTTAATAAACACTTCTGTAAACCCAAGGAGTAGAGCATTGTCTGGGCTGGGTCCTAGAGGGGAGGCGCACGTTGGGAGCTCCAAGGGATACGATGTGCCTGCCCTCCTGAGACATCTGGGCTCCCTGGTATCCATCATCAGTTAAGCGAGAGTTTGCTGACTGCGCATTAGAAGCTCAACAACTATGATCTTCCCTAACTTAGCAAAGTAAAGCTCTCAAACACGCTATTGCTGCCAACAACAACAGTAGCAGCAAAGCTGGGGTGAGATCACTAAACAGCCTGGAGCCCTCACCTCTGTCAGTAGACCCGACAAGAAAGTGGCAGTGAACACCTCCTGATGAGCAGATGAGCACCACGTGTCACCATTTGATTCTCAGCCCAAGACACTCTACAGCCACATCCCTATGCACTGTTATCTCCGTAAAGATGTTGCGATGACCCTTATCCCTGATGAGAAACAAAGACCAGAAGGGCTGACCCTATCCTGTCCTTTTCCCTGTCTCAGCAGAAAGTGGACCAGACGTTGTGTAGACATGGAACAGAGGTTCCTCCTTCCTGGACACGGGACGCTGGGCTGGGATCATTGGCTCTGCTCCTAACATGCTGACTGAACTTGGCCAACCTTCTTCACGTCTCTGGTCTCAGGTTCCCCTATTACGTGGGAATAACAGCACTTCTCTCAGGACTGGTGCAGTGACTCAACCGAAAACGATGGGGAAAGTGCTGTTCAGATTACAAATCACCCAGGTCGGTGTGAGTGCACGTCCCCATCACTGTGGGGGCCTCACACTGTGTGTGAGTGCCCTTCAAGAAAGTCCCGGAGTAAGGAAGCACTGAGGAAACACCACCAAGCTACCTCTTGGCAGCAAAGCCTGTGCAGGTCCAAGAGTTCCTTTCTTCCCTCCAGATTCCAGTGCTTGAGCCTGGGAAGAGTGTAGCCACCACCCTCCAGCTTAGACAGAGAGCCACAGCGGACCCTCGATCATGAGGAGCCAGGCTCTGGGGGCCATCCAGTATGTCCTCTCAGTCTCCCATCAGCCCTAAGGGATGGGTTTCTTTTTTTTTAGTTTTTAAAGTTTATTTATTGAGATATAATTCACACACCATAAATTTCACCAATTTAAAGTGCACAATTAAATGGGTTTTAGCATATTCATTATCAAGTTCACCACAATCTAAAGTTCACAATATTTTCATCACCCCCCCCAAAAAACCTGATACCCATTAACGATCACGACCCCAACCCCACCCAAAGCAACCAATAATCCACTCTCTGTCTTTATAGATATTCCTGTTCTGAACATTTCTTGTAAATGGGCTCCTATAATATGTGGCCTTTTGTTACTTGCTTTGTTCAGCTAACATAATATTTTTAAGGTTCATCCACGTTGTAACATGTATCCTAATGTTACTCCTTTTTGCGGTTGAATAATATTCCATTATATGGATATGTCACATTGTGTTTATCTATTCATCCGTTGATGGACATTTGGGCTGTTTACACTCTGTGCCTATCATGAACAATGCTGCTATGAACATTCATTTTTTGGGGTGGATATATATTTTCATTTCTCTTAGACATATGCCTAGGGGTGGAATTGCTGGATCAAATAGTAACTCAACGTTTAACTTCTTGCAAAACTGCCAAACTGTTTTCCAGAGGTGCTATTTCATTTTACATTGCCACCAACAATATATGAGGGTTCTGATTTCTCCACATCCTCACCAACATTTGTTATTGTCTGTCTTTTTTATTATAGTCATCCATTCATTATGGTTTTGATATGCATTTCCCTAATGACTCACGGGGTTGAGCATCTTTTCATGTCATTATTGATCATTTGTGTATCTTCTTTGAGACATGCCTATTCAAATGCTTTGCCTTTTTTAAAATAGGTTGTCTTTCAGTTTTGAGTTATAAGAGTTTCTTATACATTCCGGATACTAGATCCTTATCAGATAAATGATTTGCAAATATTTTCTCCCATTCTGTGGCTTGCCTTTTCACTTTCTTGGTACTGTCCTTTGAAACACAAAAGATTTAATTTTGCTGAAGTCCGATTTATCTATTTCTTTTCTTTTATTGCTTATTCTTTTGTGGCCAAATCTAAAAGGCCATTGCCTAACCAAAGGCCATGGTTTATTCCTACATTTTCTTCTAAGAGTTTTATAGTTTGGGTTCTTAAATTTAGAATTATCAGTTTGGGGGTAATTTTTGTGCATGGTGTGATATGGAATCTAACTTAATTCTTTTGCTTGTGGATATCCAGTTGTCCCAGCACCATTTGTTGAATTAAATTATCTTGGCACCTTTGTTGAAAATTTATAGACCATAAATTTCTGCACTTGCAACTTTATTCCATTGATCTGTGTATCTGTCCTTATAACATTACCATGGTTCATATCACCGTAACTTTGTAGTAAGTATGTTTTGAAAATAGGAAGTGTGAGCTCCCAACTTTATTCTTTTCCAAGATGATTTGGCTATTCAAGGTCCCTCATATTTCCATATGAATTTTAGGATCAGCTTGTCCATTTTTGCAAAAAAAAAAAAAAAAAAGTCCAGCTGGGATTTTGATAGGGATTTCATGGGCTTTGTAGACCAATTTTGAGAGCATCTTCATCTTCACAATATTAATTCTTCCAACCCATGAATATATGGTGCCTTTCCATTTACTTAGATCATCTTCAATCTCTTTCAATGTTATGTGCAAGCTTTACCCTTCTTTGTTAAAATTATTCCTAAATATTTTATTCTTTTTTCTACTTTTGTAAATGGAATTGTTTTCCTTTTTTTCTCAGCTTTATTGAGGTACAATTGACAAATAAAATTATATATATTTAAGTGTACAATGTGATGATTTAATTTACATATCCATTGTAAAATCATTTCCACAGCCAAGTTAATTAACACATCTATCACTCTTTTAGGATTTTGTCCAGTTCATCCACGTTATCTAATTTGTTGGCATCGTGTTGTTCATAATATTACATTATAGTCCCTTTCATTTCTGTAATTTGAGTCTTCTCCCTGTTTTGCTGGGTCATTCTAGCTAAAAGATTGTCAATTTTGTTGAACTTTTCAAAAAACCCAACATTTG